ACACACACACACACACACACACACACACACACACACACACACACCCCACACACTCACACTCACACACCACACACACACACACTCACACACACTCACTCACACACTCACACACACACACACACACACACACACACACACACACACACACACACACACACACACACTCACACTCACACATACACACAACACACACTCACACACACACTCAAATACAACAGGCCTAGTGTCTAACCGACATGTGCCTAGGACAAAATGGTAACTAACACTCACACACACACACACACACACACCACACACACACACACACACACACAACACACACACTCACTCACACTCACACACACTCACACAACACACACACACCCACACTCACACACACTCACACACTCACACACTCTCACACCACACACACACACACACACTCACACACTCACCACTCACACACTCACACACACACACACTCACACACTCACCACACTCACACACTCACACACTCACACTCACACACTCACACACTCACACACACACACACACACACACACACACACACACACACTCACACTCACACTCACACTCACACATACACACACACACACACACACACTCAAATACAACAGGCCTAGTGTCTAACCGACATGTGCCTAGGACAAAATGGTAACTAACACACACACACCCACACACACACACACACACACACACACACACACACACACACACACTCACTCACTCACACTCACACTACACCACAACACACACACAACACACACTCAACAAACACACTACACACACTCACACACTCTCACAGCACACACACACAACACTCACAGACACTCACACACTCACACATCACACAACACACTCACTCACAACACACACACACAACACTCTACACACTCACACCTCACCACTCACACACTCACACACCAACACAACACACACCCAACACACACCACACACACACTCACACTCACACTCACACTCACCGACATACACACACACACACACACACACTCAAATAAGCACAGGCCTATTGTCTAACCAGACCATGTGGCCTAGGACAAAAGGTAACTAACAACACACACATTCACACACACACACACAGACCACACACAGCAACCACACACACAACCACACACACAAACCACACACACACACACACTACTTTCCTAAGTTCTAATACGACATGTGCCAAGTACAAAATGGAGTAACTAACAGTGGTCCCTCGTTGTTCGTAATTAATCCGTTGCCTGGATCCCTTACTAAAATGAAATTTAAACGATCTTACGAATCAATTTTTTCCCCTATGTAAAAAATGTAAATACAATTAATCCTTTCCTGACAACCCAGCAGTATTAAAACAAAAAATGTTTTAACATGAAAAATGCATGTATACAAAAACAATACAATGGGAAATGAAAGAAACATAACACGCATAAACAACACTACCTTTATTGTAGATTCTTCTTAGTGTATGGGAGAACTGAGGAGTTAGAGAGAGAAGGATTGTTTATAGTAGTGGAAAGGGGAATCCCCTTCCTCAACACCTCAGGAAACCATTTGCTTTTCTGGGGTCTCTCTTCTCGTGTTTCTTAATAGCCACTAGGACCACCTTGAGAGTCCCTGGAGTCCTGTCTCACAAAATCACTGTGCGTGAGAACTCTGTTTCTGCATCTCTTTAACAGTTCCCAAAATGGGCCCAAGACTTTGTCACTGTAACATGTTGCCAACCTGGCTTGCAACAACCTTGTTAGGGTAATGTTTCTCCAAAAAGCTTTCCATCTATCTTACCCACCCCACATAGTAAAAATCTCATTATTCTGAAGAAGGCACCTTCTTTTCCATCTCTCTTCCTCCTCCTCTGCAGCCAAGATTCTGAGCTGCGAAGGTGTTGCACTTCCTGTGCTGAACTCTTGCAGCTCCTCAGTGGTGAGCTTATCATTGTGTTCTTCCACCATATTCTTATGGTTCCACATCCTCCAAACTCACATCCAAACCCCATGGAACTCCCCATTCCACAGATTGATTTTACCAACAGACATAGGCTCATTAGGGACGTCCCAAATTCTTCAAAAATCCTCTTGTCGACACAATCTGGCCACAATTTATTCTCCAGCAGAAAGTTCAAAGACCCTGTAGTCACTCCCTCCCAAGCCATACCTATAATCGGGTATGCAGTAGAAGGATGCTGACGTTTTCTCTCCCAAATTCCCTATGGTCAAGTGAGTGTCCCTGTGGTCACAGTACAAGCGCACCTGTGAAATATTGCTTTTGTGTAGAGTTTTTTAAAGTTTGCAACATAACCTGCTGGTCCATGGGTTGAAAGAGAGGAGTGGATTCGGATGGGCAAGAAACTTTACTGTGATGAAACCCAACATCCCGAAAATTAGGTCCATCCAAGATTGGATGATGAGCAGTTGCATTGACCAAACTAGCATGCACATTGAGGATCCATTTCCTTTTCATGAGATCACTCCTTCACACACTAGGGCAAACACTTCAT